CTATTTTTACCATTCCTACTTTTTGTTTATATCATAAGCCTTCTTAAATCCTTTTTGGAAGCATGAAGGGTACATATTAAATAACGACTCGTAAAATGACAGGAATAGGAAAATGGCCTTTGGAGGAGAGATGAGAAGGTTCTATTTTAAACTAATTGGTTATGGCTGTGTTAAGTAATGATTCCTAGTCAGTCACCAAGTCCTGTGGATTCTTATTCCTTGGTTTCTCTTGACTCCTCCTATTCATGTATCTCTACTCTCACTGCCTCCTTCTACCATTTTCCTCATTATAGAGTGATCTTTCCAAAGTACAAATCTGACCATGAAATAATCTTCTCAGCCCTCTGAATGAAGAATAAAACTTAACATGGCTCACAAAATCCTACAAGAATGGGCCCTACTCCTTCCATTATTCTCCTTCCTGGTTTGGAGTATGACAGTAGCTGTGCAGGTCCCAGAGCAGGATGTCAGTGCCTTTACATATTCTGCCCCACCCTCTTCCAGAACTAACCTCCCTTCTCTCCCTGCTTCCAGTCCTACTGCTCTCCATCCAGCCAAGGCTCACTTTTCAAACTGTCCTCAGCTTAAACATCACGTTTCCCAGGGATGCCCATCCCAAACAACTTTGTCTCCCAAGTGTTACCATAGCACCCTATGCTTAACACTTTTCTCCTTATCACACTATATTTTAACTGACTGTTAACTCAGCTAGGTCCTCCACTGGAGTCTGGAAAACGTAAGGGTAAGGTGGTGTTTTTAATACTGTTTCCACAGCGCTTATCACAGTGCTTGGCTTGCCTTAGGCACTTAACACATTTAAAGAATGGACAGATTCAATACAAATTTAACAAGTGTCAACTCAATCCAGTTATTGGACTAGGCACTCAGATGTACACTGTTGAACAAAACAGACCATCTCTAACCTTACAGAATTTACAGTCTATTGGAAGGAACAAACAAACAAAATGTATCTAACTACAAATTGAAATATATTCTATGAAGGACATACATGGGGTCACTTTTTAGGTCAAGAAACAGTTATTTAAGAAAACATTTACAACGACATTTGAAAGCTGAAAAAAGGAGTTGGCTAAGTCCCTCTTTTTTTCTGAGCGATTCTTTTCTACAGTTCAGGTGAATAACCAGGCCGTAGGCCAACGAATATACACCGCGTGACTAGGATGTGCCTGGCGTGTGCTAGACGTCAGAAGCGCTGAGAGATGCAGTTAAGGAAATACACAGTAGTTTTCAGCCATAGTCTGGGGTCCTTCGGACAACTCCATTCCTGACCCCTCCAACACCGTTCAGGGCTCCCCCTGCTAGGACTCCAGTTTATCCCCTCATCTCGCCCACCCCATCTCCAGTACCAACTACCAGGACTCCTCTCCCCCGCCCCCTTCTTTGTCCGAGGTTTCACTCTCCGTCAGGACTCCTTTTAGATTTATTCCCTCCCTCTTCCTGGGCCCGGCTCTTGCCTCAGTGAAACCCCCATAAGTCGTCTGGTAGAACTCATCTTCCTCCTCTGCTTCCAGAAGCCCAGAGAGCCGGTTCCCCGCGGTCTTCCGGGGGGCGCGGCCCCCAGCCAAACTCATAACGCCTAAGGAAACTGCGCTGCCAACACCAAGCCCCTCACCCAGCGCCGTTCTCTGTGCTCGGCGCTCGATAACACTACCTGCGGGCGGGCGGCGGAAGCCGTCGTCTACAGACAGAAGTAGCAGAGCGTCGAGAAGTTCCCAGTACAGCCACCTCAGTTCAGTTCATTCAGTTCAGTTCCTAAGTCGTGTCCGACTCTTTGCGACCCCACGCCAGGCTTCCCTGTCTATCACCAACTCCCGGAGCTTACTCAAACTCAGTTCCATTGAGTCGATTATGCCATCCAACCATCTCATCCTCTGTCGTCCCCTTCTCTTGCCTTCAATCTTTCCCAGCATCGGGGTCTTTTCAAATGAGTCAGCTCTTCACATCAGGTGCCCAAGGTATTCGAGTTTCAGCTTCAACATCAGTCCTTCCAATGAATATTCAGGATTGATTTCCTTTAGGATAGACTGGTTGGATCTCCTTTCAGTCCAAGGGACTCTCAAGAGTCTTCTCCAACACCACAGTTCAAAAGCATCAATTCTTCCGCTCAGCTTTCTTTATAGTTCAACTCTCACATCCGTACATGACTACAGGAAAAACCATAGCTTTGACTAGACGGAGCTTTGTTGGCAAAGTAATGTCTCTGCTTTTTAATATGCTGTCTAGGTTGGTCATAACTTTTCTTCCAAGGAGCAAGCTCTTTTAATTTCAAGGCCTTCTCAACTCTTCAGCCCCGCCCACTCCTGCGTTGAGGCCACCCCAGGCTCCCCGCCCCAGTACGCAAGTTTATCCCGGCTGTGGAATGATACCACACTGTGACACCAGGAGCCTTTTACCCTACGGACAGAATTTGGGAATCAATAAATTTTCATTTAGAAGAAGTCAGTTTCCCTCTGCTCCAGTATGTTTTTCATTCCGTTGTCAATAGAAACCTTTCTGTTAATGTTCAATCGCTAAGTCGTGTCAGACTCTTCGACCCTATGGCCTGCAGCACTCCAGGCTTCCCTGTCCTTCACTATCTCCCGGAGTTTGCTCAGATTCATGTCCACTGAGTGGGTGATGCTATCTAACCATCTCATCCTCCTTCCGCCGCTCCCTTCTCCTCCTGCTCTCAATCTTTCCCAGTATCAGGGTCTTTTCCAATCAGTTCGCTTTTTGCATCAGGTGGCCAAAGTAATGGAGCTTCAGTGATTTTGGATCCCAAGAAAATAAAGTCTGTCACTGCTTCTCTAACAGAGCAGGATGAGCACAGCCCTTAGCAGGTAGCATTGCTGTGTCTCATTACTCTGCACCGTTACTAGGCAACAGGTCCTGCTCAGCTATTGGTCAACGCTGCAGTGGGTCCTGCCCACTGGTAAATGTCAACAGGGGACCACTGGGGAAATGATTCAGTCAACAATCCATGGGGTGGTGGTTATCAGGTGGAGAGTGAGGTAAAAGGCAGATGCAGGCCTTCTCCTGGAGGCCCTCCAGTTTACCCAGCCTTGGGCCAGCAGGTGAGCTGGAGGGCCCAGGGAGCAGACTAGGGAGCCTAGGGACTACGTCCTGCAGGGCTCCAGAGCCCTCACTAAGGCCCTCCACTAGCTGGGGCCAAGACTTTGAGAAGCAGTGAACCTCTTCCCATCCCTGTCTCTGTGACCCACTAGCAGTGACCATCTGTATGAGTCACAGTTTGTGAGACCTGGTCTCCCCATTTGGATGGCCTGAGGAGACTGAGGGCCAGTTGGGTTGGATGCCTGGCTCCCTCAGGGATGACAGCTGGGTAGGGTATGGGAACTTGGCCTTGAAGGAGCTGCCAAGTGAGATCTGCCTCCTCTTAGCCAGGACTGGGACCTTGGAGGGTAAAAGTTGTGCCTTGGGACTTTGCCCTTTCTGGTCAAGACAGAGAATAATATTCATCTGGTAGAGATTTTCAGGAACATTATTACCTGACCATGACCTGACCTCGAGAACAAAGGATCTGACGCCTGGAAGTCTATAACAACTAACCACACCCATCCCTCACCTTTTGCTTTGAAAGGGACTTGCTGACAGCCTTCAGTAATTTTGGGGTTCTAGGATATGAGCCACCCATCTTCTTGTATGAATCTATAATAAACCTTTTTCTCTTCCAAACTCTTATGTTTAGTATTTATGAGCCTCACTGTGCATCGGACTCATGGACTTGCGATTTCGGTAACACTTCCACTTTTCCCTCTTCTACTTGCCATGAAGTGATGGGACTGGATGCTGTGATTTTTGTTTTTTGTTGAGCTTTAAGCCAGATTTTTATGCTTGCCTTTCACCCTCAGCAAGAGGCTCTTTAGTTTCTCTTCAGTTTCTGTCATTTAGCGTAGTATTATCTGCATATCTGAGGTTGCTGATATTTCTCCCGGCAGTCTTGATTCCAGCTTGTGATTCATCCAGCCTGGCATTTTGCATGATGTACACTGCATATAAGTTAAATAGGCAAGGTAACAATACACGGCCTTGATGTACTCCTTCCCCAGTTTTGAACCAGTCTGTTGTTCCATGTCCAGTTCTAACTGTTGTTTCTTAACCTGCATACAGATTTCTCAGGAAACAGATAAGGTGGTCTGGTATTTCCATCTCTTTAAGAATTTTCCACAATTTGTTGTGATCCACACAAAGGCTTTAGTGTAGTCAGTGAAGCAGAAGTAGATGTTTTTCTGGAATTTCCTTGCTTTCTCTATGATCCAATGAATGTTAGCAATTTGATCTCTGGTTCCTCTGCCTTTTCTAAACCCAGCTTATATATCTGTAAGTTCTTGGTTCATACTGTTGAAGCCTAATTTTAAGGATTTTGGCCATGCTTTACTAGTATGTGAAATGAATGCAATTGCACGGAAGTTTGAAAATTTTTTGGCATTGCCCTTCTTTGGGATTGGAATGAAAACTGACCTTTTCCAGTCCTGTGGCCACTGCTGAGTTTTTCAAGTTTGCTGACATAGTGAGTGCAGCACTTTCACAGCATTATATTTTAGGATTTGAAATAGCTCAATTGGAATTCCATCAACTCCACTAGCTTTGTTCATAGTAATGCTTCCTGCTGCTGCTGCTAAGTCACTTCAGTTGTGTCCGACTCCGTGTGACCCCATAGATAGCAGCCCACCAGGCTCCCCCGTCCCTGGGATTCTGCAGGCAAGAATACTGGAGTGGGTTGCCATTTCCTTCTCCAAAGACCTTTCCTGTATAATTCAGAAAAGATTATATTTGTACAAGCCCAGATAAGGAGGCCCAGTGCAAAGTTTAAAGAGAGCCTGCAACATACATTTACTCTAAATATTCCAGCAGTTAGATAACAGAAGCAAAATGGCTATTTTTGGTAATTACTATCTATCATAAGTAGAAATGTAGATTAAACACAAGATTTTTAGTTCCAGCTTTTATTTTTTGTTTAGTTTGGGGCGTTTTTTTTCCCCCATTTCCACTAGATATCAAATCTTCTCGTGTAATCCACATAATACTAATAAACTCTAAATTTCTGTTTCCTCAAGATTTTAGTAGGATTTCTCCTTTTATCATCTTGCATGCAAGTAGAGACACAATTTCTTACGGCTTACAGCAGACTCTAAGCCGTCTGCAGCACCGAGGAGGCGTGGGCAAGCAGAAGTGCCCTGAAATCATCTAAAACCCATCTGCGGTATTTTCCAGGCGCAGCCCCTCTGCAGAATGAAAGCGGCAGGCGGCTCTCAGAGCCTTCAATCACACCATCGAGGAGGGCGGATAAATGCCTCTAAAATTCCCTTTCATTTTATGAAGGGAGACTTCCTCAGTTAAGAGACCTTTCCATCTTTCGGCTTCCCCCCTTTTCAAAGGACTGAATTTTAATGCAAATCTAATTACCGCCTCGATCAGGGCAGGCAGATGCTGCACAGATCCCCGCTTCTCTGCTGCCACATGGCACCGCTGACCTGAGACACCCCTCGTTCCCAAGCCCGGGCCTCCGGAGCAAAGCATGCAGGCCAGGCTGGGGCTGCAGGCAGTCTGGACGGGCACCGCCTCCCCGGAAAGAGCACACTCGGTGGGGACACCACACCTGGACCAAAACGACACCCATCCCTGAGGGGAGGTGCCTTCTGCCCACTTCTCGCTTAAAACTGAATTTCAGCCTCTGCGTTAACCCTTGACAGCACCTATGCACACGGACTGCTCAGGGGCGAGCCGGCCGGCGTCCCACGAGGTCTACCACCATCTAGTGGTTACAGGTGGAAGGGACTCCAGGCTTCAAAAAAAAAGTGTGTAAGCAGGTATTTAGCCTGAGTGAGAACCTCCGAGGGATGAAACATAAACTAGATGAGCCCCACGTCACTTACTATTTCTTCTACCTAAACTAACTCAAAGGTAGAAAACTTCTGCCAACAGAACCAGGCAGTGTGTGTGTGACGGACAATCCCCACTAGTACTCCCATATTTAAAGAGTGAAAAAGTATATCCTAACACCATTTCAAAGCTTTGGAATTGTAGTTTTAACTTATTCTCCTAAAACCAAGCATCTGTTACTATAAATATTATGTATATAAACTGCATAGGGGACATATGAAACTTCTTCTAATATATGATATTTTCTCAATTGAAATGTTAAATTTATTCTGTGTTTCAGAGCATGTAGATATATTCCCTTTAAAATCTTTAAGTCTTGATATTTTAACAGATTTAGAAAATAGAGAATCTATTAGTTGGCTATTCAGTCTATGAATGGAGATTAGATAAAACACCCTGCATAATTCTTTTCCCTTGCATATTCTTTAACGTTCTTTTGGTCACTGTGAAATACAAAATTCAAAATATAATTCTGCTATAGTTTGCAGTTAATACTATTAATCTGAAGAAAGGTAAGAGTTTAACCTTTACATTTCTTTTCTCCTGGCATAATAAATCAGGACTCAAATACCTTTTTTTTAATTCCCCAGCACACGATTTAAGGAAGAGAACAGTAGGCTCGGAAGGACACCCACAAAGCAGGCTGGGACAAGAGCCTGGCCCACACCAGAAGCTGGGGTGGGCAGCTGGCAGAGGCCGGCTTACCTGAATGAGGAGGGGGTGCGTTGGCCACCTGTCAATCGTGCTCCACTTCATTGTGGGCTCCTTGCCCGCCTCATTATAGTATCTGTAAATGGCATTTAAGCTGCTGCCTGAAATATACAGGGGCCACTTAGTACATGCATGTGGATTATGGTGAAAATAAAAAACCCGACTAGTAAAGGCTGTAATTATAAGTTCAAAGCAGGTAACTTCTGCACTGAGTCAGTCTAATTACAATCATTTCAATACTCTAAAATGCATATAGATCTAACGACCCTGCAAATGAAGATCACTAAAAAGCAATCAATTTCAACGACCTTTCAAAGATTAGTGAGGCCACTTCTCTAGAGAAGCACAGTGGCGGTGGATTTATGAAATATAAGCGGTTGTTATTTGCAAGGACCAAGTCTTACAACGGAAAACATGTTACATTTTTTTTCCCCATTATGAAGGGAATCAACCCCATTTACAGGAAATAGAGGGGGTAGGAAAGAGAGGGAAAAGAAACCAGCCATAACCCCAGCATGCTACCACAATCATTGTTTTATTCTAACTAGTTCTTTCCAGTGATTTTTCGTTATAGCTGTGATGTTTCACAAATTCATTTCAGTATATGGGCACTTTTGTATCCTGAATATTTAGGGCATTTTTCCTTAGCATTATGAATGAGTGTTTTCCACATTATAATGAAAGCTTTATAATCATCCTTTTTAATGGCTCATTGACAAGAATAGCAGCTTATTAAGGCTTCTAAGCTCATTCTCTATTTTTATCTGCTTTATTAAATTATCCTCACTCCCTAGAATAAGTTAAATGGGTACCAAATCCTTGAAGGTAATCTATCAAAACTTGTATTTCTAAGCAAGAGATGGTTAACATGAAAATTCAAAGACTAAAGAAAGGAAGGCAGATGGTGCCAACCCAGGGCAATTTTTTTCCTGGCCTAGAGGATTTGGCACTGGGGCCAAGCCCTAATCCTATGAAACCAACCCTAACATGGGGGCCTCCTCATCAATCTTCACGTGGGGCAAATGCTCCCAAAACAGCCATGCTTCCTGACACCACTAGTTTCTCTACTATAACTATTCATCAGTCAGGTCTCCAAATAAAAAATGCTTGCCAGGACAAAGCCATACGGACATCACATGTACTCTCAGGCTAAGACTCGATTTTCAAAAAAATAAAATCCAGTTCCATTTTTCTGAGCAGACTGCAATGAGTCAGATAAATCCAAATGGAGTCCATCCCAGGTTCAAAACCTGTCTCTCCAGAAATCAAGAAGCAGTCACCGCCACCTGCATGTTGCAAGCTACATTTCACAGAGGAACATTCATTTTCAGATGGATTGGGTTGGCCGGAAAGTTCGTTTGGATTTTCCCATAACATCGTGCCTGAAGGAACTTTTTGGTCAAGCCAATACAAAAGGACTTTCAGCAGCCACAGGAGGTCTTCTGGGTCACTCAGAAACATTCGGTGAAATGCCTAAAGTAGTAATTAAGAGCAGAGCATAACTAAAAAAAAAATTGCCTGATTAAAAAAGGTCATTGATCAAAGCAAGACTACATAAAAAGTAGGAAGTTTTCATAGACAGAAACCTTAACTAAAGAATTAGAAATACTGTCAGAATCCTGCTATGGAAGACCTAAATCTCTCTACTTTACATGATAAACTCAATAAATGTGCAGATATTAAAAAAAAAGAAAAGTGATACATCAAATATACTGGTGCTGCCACAACACATGTGTAAGTAAAGCAACAGATAAATGACACTCTAGTGGCCTCCAAGAATGAGCATGCCTTCACACCCCTGCAGTGAGGCTGCACCTTCCCTGTGTCCGAGGGAGCACACACAGGCCGAGCCGGCTGGGAGACGTGCCGGTTGTCAATCCCTTGTCACAGAAATAACCATCTTCTTGCTTAGTTTTGAGAGCAGACATGTACATGGTGAGTTGAGGTATATTTTTGAAAGCCAGGCAAAAAGTATAGCTTAGAAAGGTCATAAAATTTTTCTCCAATAACATGGTAGACATGTTACCAGACATTTTAAAGGCACATATCCAAAAGAAATTACAATTCAAACTCTTGAGGCACTTTCATAGGGGCTCTGAATAAATATTTAAGGCACACACTAAGCTTCCAAGATTTCTTCCAGTAGCCTTTTGTCTTCTCCTTCCTGTTATAGAAATAATATGCACTAATGTCCAAAAGCAATTTAGAAGTAAAAATGTGCTGACCCCAGAGCCTTGAAAAAGAATGCAAACAAATGTAACTGTGGCTGACATTAGATGATTTACCTATACCTAATGATACAGAGATTGGCAAAACATTATCCTCCATCTCCAATTAAATATCTAGGAAACACCACCCAGTAATACTTGCTTAAATCTAGAACACTGAGAGAAGTTAGCAGAGGAAACCCTAAATTGGGCTTTGGTTTGACCAGGAACCAACCCGTAACCAAAATACATATCCATATTTCCAATGTTGTGTGGACACCTCTGCCTGCAAAATGGAAACATCTATCACCTTCGCTGCATTAATAAGAATAGTGGCGTAGCCATAAAAACAAAGGTTTATTACACAAACACAGAAAGCGACTTAAGGCGCATCACGGATCCATTCTACACGCATTAAAGCACTGGACCCTGGAAGCCGCTGCCTTTCACCCACCATTTGTAATTCTCAGGGCACTGGCTAATAACTCAAGGGACAGATGAACCATGAGATTTCAAATAGACTGACCTGAACTCTCACGTTTAACACAGACAGGCTGGATTTGCCATTCAAATCGAAAGTGATTCACCCTCTCCTCCGGCCCCGCTCTGCTGGTTCTCAGCGGGGCCAGGGCCGCCCCGCCATCGGCAGGCAGGCTTACCCGTGGTGGAGCAGCTGAACTGGGGGTACTGCGTGAAGGCGACCGCTCTCTCCAGGCCATCCCGCTCCATCTCTCCAATCGCTTCCTCTGTTAACGGGTGGACGTACCGGAATCCAATATAGTACTTGTGCGGGGCTGTTAGGAAGCATGTGTGGAAAGGAGAGAGTATTCATCTTGATATACATTCCGAACATATTGCAGTGCCCAGAACAAAGGACAGTTAACCTAATTTCCTGTGAGGCTGATAATATGGGCAAGGTTAGAAATATTCCTTGGATCTTTTCCAGGCTTTCGCTGGTAGATGCATTTTTCACCCCTTTTTTTCTGTGATCAACCTCCCCCATCACACATATATTTTCATGGAACACGTGGTTTTTAAAACTCAAGCTTCCATGTCTTATTCTCTGCTTTTGGCCAAGACAAGAGAGACTCAAGAGCAAGGAGTTGAGAACTAGCATTTATTCTTAAATATAACCTCCTCTATGGACCAGGCACCGTGGCAGACACTGCACTTTTTTCTTCTCATCTAAACCCCGTTTTTCAGATAAGGAAACAGACTCTCAGAGGTTAATGAGCCGCCCAGAGGCACCTAGCAGACGGTCCAGACGGGATTCCCTGTGCTCTGCCCATGCCGACCACTGCACCCCAGCCTTCTCACCACCCAAGTTCCCTTCTCCTGTTCCCTCAGACCCAGGCCACCCGTCTGTATGAAAGCTCTGGGATACTCAATAAAAGTTCATTGATAACAAATGATTGAAATGATTCTCCTCACTTACATGAAAAACAAGACCAAACCCAACAATAATGCTTAAGTTGGAGGCACTGAGTGGGATTTAAAATCATTCTTCTGGGACTGCTTTGCCAATCCAATGATTAAGACTCTGCTTCCAATGTAGGGAGCGTCGGTTCGATCCCTGGTCAGGGAACTAAGACCTCACATGCTGAGTGCGGTGGACAAAGATTAACAATAAAATCATTCTTCTGGCTCCTAAATGTCCCAAGCCAGGGGGTGTCTTTGTATTCCCTGTTCCATCACTTCACCAATTCTATGTCCTCCTTTATTATTTTAAAAGCTCCTCAACCAATTTTTTAGGCATTTATAAAATCATAAAAATGGAAGCTTCCTAAAGCTACCCAGGGCTTCCCAGGTGACTCAGTGGTAAAGAATCTACCCACCAAGCAGGAGACTCCAGTTCTATTCCCGAATTGGGAAAATCCCCTGAAGAAGGAAACCGCAACCACCTCCAGTGTTCTTGCCTGGGAAATCTCATGGACAGAGGAGCCTGGTGGGCTGCAGTCCATGGGGTCGCAAAGAGTCAGACACAACTGAACACTCACGCATCCTGTTTACTTGTCTTTTCATAGGATTATACCCAGTTTATACTCAGGGATGAAATTGAAAATACATGACATAAACGTTAAGTCTAATAAAACCAAGGTCATCTTACTGTCCAGGCCTCAGCCAGGGCTGCAGCTAAGAATATGATGCTAAATTGCCACAAGAAAACATTTCAGTTGAAGAGAAGAAAAAGATAATACATTAATTGTGTGTGTGTCTCTGTGTATGTACTATAATGTATGTTTTATATATATGTGTATTATGTATATGAATAAATGTGTATTACATATGTGTATGTGTGTATTATATATGTATTATATATATGTGCATGGTGGATATAGACCTATAAAACATCCCTCAGTAACTTGACCAGGGGACCGAATCAGTGGACCGTGCTGTCCAGAACAGAGGCCGAGTCAACCCCGGGGGGAGCGGCACGTCTGTGCGTGGGGAGGACGGTCTGGTTCCATGTTCTCCGGTGGCAACTATAAAAAGAGGAAGGAACAAAAAGAGGAAGGAGGGGGCACAAGTGAAATCCTTCTCGGCTGCCTGGCCCTTCGAGGCCTCCGATTTTCTGGTCTCTTGCATAAAACATGGTGGCCTGCCGTTAAACCCCCCCAGAGGACAGAACCCGATAAGCAAACTCCCAAGGACAGCTTGCTCAAAGATTACGAGGTTCGCGCTAAAACTGCCCACGATCACAGGATCATCAGGCCCACTTTTCAGGAGCTCTTGGTGCTCTGCGCTGAGGCTGAAGTGGAATTTGCTTTCTGATCTATTTTGAGACAATACAATGATCAGACTGACAGAGCCAGATCCCCCGAACACTGTGGGTCACCTGGCTTCTGGCGTTTTCCTTTCCACAGGCTGCTGGGAGTTGAAAGCTGCAGCCTAAACGCCCAGGGCCTGGGAGTTTCTCAGATGTTACAGACTCAGAGAGGTGGAGAGGCCTCCCTCACAGATAAAGGCAGGGTGGCGACCATATCTGGAGGTGAGACAGAATAAGATACTCTGGAAAGAACAGATAATGCTTTCCAAACGGTCCAGTTCAAGACGGCCCGCAAAAACATGTTTCAGAAAAAGTGACGAGGCCCTGGGCCTCTCCTGAGGAACTAACAAGCCTTCACAGAGGCTCCCAGCTGCCTCGGGGAGAGGAAGGAGGCNTTCCAAACGGTCCAGTTCAAGACGGCCCGCAAAAACATGTTTCAGAAAAAGTGACGAGGCCCTGGGCCTCTCCTGAGGAACTAACAAGCCTTCACGGAGGCTCCCAGCTGCCTCGGGGAGAGGAAGGAGGCTCCAGGGGGTCAACCAGCACCCCGTCTAGTGGGCACCACATCCGGCCAGAGCAAGCCCGCAGCACGACTTGCTGACCCTGCCGCAGCCACCCAGTGAACACTCTGGTGAGAACTACAGAGAAGTTAAAAAAAAAAAACAACAAACAGAAAAACCATTTTTTTAAACAGTAAAACTTCATTAACCTTCACTCCATTCATTAGCAATGGGCAATAGTTCAAATGTCTGATTTGTACGTGACTCTTTGAGAGAAGGGTGTGAAGCTATTATGATGCTTTTTGATTTGTAGCTGATCATGGTGAATAAGAAAAGCTCAAGTCTTCTGAATTTTTATCATGTAACCATGCTAATGCCTCTCAGGATTATCTGATTTTAATGTTCACAGTAATCCTAGGAGTGGGAGTGTATTATCATCCCCATTTTCCAGATGGGGCTCAGCGAGTTGAGTCATCTGCCTGATCTCACACAACTAGGAATGGGGAAGCCAGCTGAGCCTGAAATGATCCCGTTTTGCATCCAATAAAGAATAAAAGTCTTTCACTGAGTAGCACTTACTCAAGAGCTTCACTGAAAGCAGACACAGTGCATATAACTAGATATCACTTTTAAAATATATTTTACTGTATTCCTTTTTTAAAAAAAGGACCATGTGTGGTCATTCGTTTTTGGCTGTGCTGGGTCTCTGCTGCGGCGCATGGGCTTTCTCTACCTGCGGTGAGCAGAGGCTGCTCCCCAGCTGCTGTGAGCAGGCGTCTCACTGCAGCGGCTTCTCTCGTGGCCGAGCACAGGCTTTAGATGCACAGGCTTCAGAAGCTGTAGGCCCTGGGCTTGGGCTGCTCTGAGGCAGGCGGAACCTTCCGGGACCAGGAATAGAACCTGCATCCCCTGCACTGGCAGGCGGATCTCTAACCACTAGACCACCAGGGAAGCTCTAAAAACGTATTTTAGATTTTAACTTTTCATGAATTGAAATGACTACACCTCTCATCTGTATTCCTTCTGTATTCCTTAAATGACTGCGGTGCAGTCTAACTCTGTGAAACCGATTCCAAGTTATATTCCCTCGTGGAGTGCACTGTATTTAGTCAATACTCAAGTCTGTGCAGAGCCTGTGCAAGCCTCAAACTTTCTATCCTGGCTACCAAGCAACAACTGTTTGCCCCCCAAATGGGAATATGAAACATTCTTATCTGGTTGTAATCATCACACCTTTTAAATTTTTTGCCCAAAAAGAGAGCGTCCAAAAATACACAAAAAAAAAGACACACAGTACAAAAAAAAACTATAATTTTACAGGATAAAAACTGTAAGAAGGGAGGAAAGAGATGCAGAGACAGGGAAGCAGGAAGCGGGAAGGAAAAGCAGCAGGAAGGAGGGAGGCAGGGAGGGAACCCAGGCTAGTCCCCAAGGCGGCTGAGGGCCCACTGCCAGCTTCGGGTCCACCCGGCCAAGTGTGACCAGCGGGACAAAAAGCGTCCAGGTAAGCTGAGTGAGCCATGGAGCCACGTCTGGTAATCGCCTTACTCGTCTTTCATGCAGAGTTCCCCAAAGAAGCCGCCAAACCTTGAGACTGTTTGCAGCATCCTCATCAGCTGCCACACTGGTTTTGTAGAGAATCGCCCCACAAAGCCTTCAGATTTTCCTCTTGGCCCCTGGAGCAGACTGGCCTGGAGCAGCAAGGCCGCACGAGACTAGAAGCTTCTCGTGAGTAGAAGCCATGTGTTTCGGCTTTGAGTAGCAGCATCACCGGGGCAGGGCCCTGGCCAGGCCACTGATGAGTGAAAGTGTGGGTGGTCGTGGGCCTCCTTAAACACCCCCCCGCCCCTGGGGCAGGCCTGCTGGAATGATGAGATGGCCATCTACCACGCAGGAGAAAGGCAGAATTGAACTTGTCTGCCTCAGAGAGTCCCAAGCATGGGCCGGTGACATGCCCGAGGGTCAACACCAGGTGTCTGACAGCGAGTGGGTCACTGCTCTTCAGTCACTAAGTCGTGTCTGACTCCTGGCGAACCCACGGACGGCAGCACGCCAGGCCCCTCTGTCCTCCACCGTCTCCCAGAGTTTGCTCAAATTCACGTCCACTGGGTCGGTGATGCTATCTAAGCATCCCATCCTCTGCCGCCTTCTCTCTTTGCCTTCAACCTTTCCCCGACTCAGGGTCTGGGACCCCGATGATCAGGGAATGGGACGCTGGGGTAAATCCAGGTCATTCTATGGGGCTCCTTCCAGGCCGCCCGGGGAGGTGGAGGCCATGGCTGGCCCGCTGGGCCTGGACAAGCCCGCAGCCTCAGCACAAAGAGGGGACAAGGAAGATGCATGGGTGCTCCTTCTCCAAGGCTGCCGGCTCCACTGGGGCCTTCGGCGACGGGCGCTGGACTAAGATGTCAACAGGGAAAGCGGAGTCTTCCCAGCACCTCTGTCCACTGAGGGCAGGACGGCAACTGCAGACCTGGCTCACCCTGAAGCTTCACTGCGATAAACTGTTAATGCCTAGGAGGTGTCCTCTATCAGGTAGGTGTGTGAGGCGACATCAGTCAAGTCCCCTCACCGGACAATTTAAAAGACACCCTGTATCACGCGTGGCTGACCGTGACCGTGACCTGCAGCCACAAGCAAAGGGAGCGAGCAAAGCCAACAGTCACAAAGGCGCAACTGAGCAACTTTCCAAGTGAGAAGCTCCGCCAAGCGTGGGAGCCTTTTGTCCCACAAGTGATGCAAACCCGTGGGTTCCAAGAGCAACTCGAGATGACACTCGGTGAGATGCTCTCGATCCTGCCTAGCGGGCCTCTCTCCTTGACAGTCCCCACTATGTCTCACTCCTGTCCTGATTCTGAACCTTAAACTACAGCAATGAACACATTTCATGTATCCTAAGATGCACATTTTTAAACATCTTGCATTGGTCTACAGCAGACGCTGTCTTAAAATTAACCGGCAGAGGTCTTATGTCTTTGTGAATCCCATGCACAGAGGAGCCTGGTGGGCTACAGTCCATAGGGTCACAAAGAGTTGGACACGACTGAAGCAACTTAGCATGTACACACACACAGACCTTANCCCGATCCAGGGATCAAACTCACATCTCTTATGTCTCCTGTACTGGCAGGCAGGTTCTTTACCACTAGCACCATCTGGGAAGCAGCAGCCTCAACCCATTTCCCCAAGATTTCTTTCTTCCCAGAACAATGATATGTGCCTCTTTTTTTTTTTTCATAGTTGGAGGGGTGAACGCCAACTTCATTCTGAGGCTAATGTTCCAAAACCTTTGTTTTCCCTTGTAATATAAGGAAGCAGCAGAAAGACTATACAGCTGAGGACAGAGGATAACGATAATGCCAGAGAACTGAGGTCGGCGGCCAGGCCATCATGTAGGAACCCCCTCAAATGGAGAGCTGCTGGCACCCAGAACTGCATTTGGCATCCAGTAATGCTGTGAATTTCATAACTGCCCCTTGAAAGAACAACGCTAGTGGGACGTGAGTTGAGAAATGCCCTACCTGTGTGCGGGGACAGCTCGTCCAGCAGCTTCACCATGCCTTCCCCCTGCTTGGAGGTCCACATCTTGATAGGCGATCCACCTCCGATCCTGCGGTACTGCTCCTGAATTTTGGGGGTTCGGCGTTTGGCGATGAATGGTCCCAGCTTACTAAATCATTGAACATTGAAATCATTTTATTCCAGCTTAAGCAACCTCAGAAACATTTTCTACTCAATTTTTTTTTAAAAAGCCAAAATTTAAGAAGAGCCTAATAAAATCAAGCCTTTAGAAGGCTTGATTAGAAGCTCAAGGTCACTGACGCCAGCCAGCTCCTTCGACACAGATTAGAGAGAGAGAACCTGACGGACTCCGGGGAGTAGCCTCCTCTGCCCCACAAGTGGCTCTAGCAGCAGGATCCCCACCATCCATGCAGAGCCTGTGTGCCAGCCACTAACTTAACCCCTCTTGATCCTGGACCTAACAAGAACTGGGACAAATAAGACATTTGGCAGTGCACAGCCCTCTTAATTCAAGAAAATGCATATTAACCCCATAATATACTTGCCCACGTGAGCAAAGATGTATGGGCAAGCAAGCTCATTGTTAACACTGAAGACAATCCAAGTGTCCATCAGTGAGGCACTGGTTAAATAAATGAAGGTATGACCATACCATGCAGGTCTGTGTAGTCGTGAAAACAGAATGAGCAAGATCTATACCATCTGTTACAGAATAATCTCCAAGATACATCATTAGGTTTCAGAAAAAAATAGCAAAGTGACAAATAACATACATGAACCCATTCACATTTGTGTAAGGGGGGGGGGGTTGTGTATGTGTGTGTGTATATTCTTGGATGTCCATGGACAATTTCTGGACCTCATAGCACTTACCTCTGGGGTGGGTAAGTGGAAGGCTAGAGTCCAAGGGGAAAGAGGCACCCACTTTTTACTGTAAATACTTTTTAACTGTTTGTATTTTTATCATATGCATGCACAACGTTTTTATTTAAAAACCTTATTTTAAAAAAAAAGGAAAGGGCTGCCCTGGTGGTTTAGTGGTAACTCCCACTGCCAATGCAGGAAACATGGGTTTAATCCCCAGGCCAGGAAGACCCCACATGTCACAGAGCAACGAAGCCTGTGCGCCACCACTACTGAGCCTGTGCTCTAGAGCCCGGGAGCCGCAACTCCTGAGCCCACATTCCACAACTCCTGAAGCCCAAGGACCCTGGGGCCCATGCTCAGCAACGAGAGAAGCCACTGCAATGAGAAGCCTGCACACTGCAACTAGAAACGCTTGCTGCAACTACGGAAAAGCCTGTGCGGCAACAGAGACCCAGCGCAGCCGAAAATAAATACGATTATTTTTAAAAGACAAAGAAAAAGGAGAGAAGGAAGAAGGGAAGAAAGAATGAAAGGAAGGGAAGAAGGACAGCAAGAATCCACCTTCACGATGCAAACGAATAATACTTATTGCTTCTCTGAGTGTCAGCCAGTCGCCAAGTACCAAGCACAAACCTATCTTCAAAGATCTTTAAAGGTCCTTCAGTGTGTCCAGACCACCGCAATTTCCAGAGCTCTGGGGAGGAAAGGGCTAAGGGGGAAATCCGTACTGACTGGCTGTCTCTCTCCCCTACAATTATTCTGATATCACAGCTTTCTCATAGCCAACAGAAAATAATAATGCTGCTCCAGCCCTAACCAATATGCACTAAAACCATTTATTTTTTCTTTTGGAAACTACAGAAATGAGATCCAGGGAGGGCAAAATATACCGCACAGGTAACGGATAAGCACAGGCATCCACACGCATCTTACTTTTGGATAGGGAGTGTCATGAGGTCTTGATCCAAGAAGAGCCTCTGAAGGAAGTCCTGAACTTCTTCGACGGTTTCGGGGCCTCCCATGTTCAGCATCAATATTCCAGTCTTTGGCTTCCTGGATAAAACATAAGGTAACAGTGAGTTTGAAGTACTTCTTGTTTTCCTCTAGGGTAGACTCTAGGTCCAGCCGGCAGATTCTCACCTCGTCTGTCCAATGCAAAGACAAAAACATCGGATGGCAGGTCTCATCACGGCCATCGCAGTGAACGCAAGGGGCCGGGGCCACTCAGTCCCCGCCCCGGTTCAGGCTCTGACCCTCACCTCCGAGCTCCAGCCTGGCCCCTGGACGTACCTGGGCGCCCAGTGTTTCTCTATTAAATTGCCAGCTCTGAACAAAGACCCCGCTCTTTGGGGACTGAGGGTCAAGGTATACACCTAAAATTGTCCTGTTCACAAGACTGCCTCATAACTACACAGGCTACCTGATCTCTCCAGGCTTACGTCTCCTCGTCTGTAAAACAGAGGGCTCACCAGTTACCTCAGGAGGTTACTTGGAGGATTAAGCGGATAACGCACAGGGTCATTTAGCACGAGCCGGCACAGTTTGAAGTACTTCTTGTTTTCCTCTAGGGTAGACTCTAGGTCCAGCCGGCAGATTCTCACCTCGTCTGTCCAATGCAAAGACAAAAACATCGGATGGCAGGTCTCATCACGGCCATCGCAGTGAATGCAAGGGGCCGGGGCCACTCAGTCCCCGCCCCGGTTCAGGCTCTGACCCTCACCTCCGAGCTCCACCCCGGCCCCTGGACGTACCTGGGCGCCCAGTGTTTCTCTATTAAATTGCCAGCTCTGAACAAAGACCCCGCTCTTTGGGGACTGAAGGTCAAGGTATACACCTAAAATTGTCCTGTTCACGAGACTGCCTCATGACTACACAGGCTACCTGATCTCTCCAGGCTTACGTCTCCTCGTCTGTAAAACAGAGGGCTCACCAGTTACCTCAGGAGGTTACTTGGAGGATTAAGCGGATAACGCACAGGGTCATTTAGCACGAGCCGGCACGTACGGTAGGTTCCATTCTACAAGAGGAGCCGTGGGCTTCCCTAGCATATTAAACCTCCACAGTAAACTACTAGGCCAGCTCTCTCTCTAAATAAATATGCTCTTATTTATTCCCTTCTCTTTGGTTAATTATTATATTATTACTGACCTAAGTTATTTCCTGCTACTCCGCTTCCTTCTCCATAGCCTGCCACGACTCCTTTTCAGTGCCTCCTGCTGTGATGAACTACATTTCTCACTTTCCCCTCACCTCTCCACCCTTCACCTGAAACCCAGCTAACTTAAGCAACTCCTATGAAACACTGGTCTAAATTACTCAAGTAAGTTCCGAGCTAAAGAATCAACTATTACTGAATGAGCAAAGAGAAACAAAAAAGTCAAGCAGCTTCTGGGAAATTTTTTTAAAAAGGACTGTGCAAAAATGTAATATGTGCACAAGGTTAGGCAACCGTTACAGCTTTCTAATTCCTAAATATTTTTGTCACCCTCAAAAATCTCTCATACCCATCACTAGTCCCCATTCCCCCTGGCCCTCACCTCTGGCAACCTCTAATCTACTTATGGATTTTCCTGTTCATAGGAATAGAATCATTCCTGGCCTATTGGCCTAAATAATATTATATGTGGTTTTCTGTGTCTGGTTTTTCACTTAGCATAAAATTTGCAAGGTTCATTCATGCTGTAGCACGAATCAGTACTTCTTTCCTTTTTATGGCTGAATAGTATTCCATCATATGGATATCCTCTCTGCTCACTCTCAATAAAGTGACTGAGAAGTAAGCAGCCTCACGTTTATTTAAAACGCCATTATTACAAACGCTGAGGGGTCTACTTTCTCGGTCTCCTTCGCCAAAACCACCTCCAGCTAAAGCGGTGACTGGTGCAATCCTGCTCAGATGGCTCTCATTTGGAAGATTGCTCGTAAAGGGTTCTAAGCTAATCATATCATGATGACAGTTTAATTGCAATTTTTTAAAAAGTATTAATCATATTTGGCAATCATTTTAGGCAATAGAGTGGGTCAAATTTATACAAGTGGAAGCTGTTTTCTTGATCGAACACACTTTAGATGGATGAAGTAGATATCTGAATTTTCGGCCTAAATTTTCAAAATAAGAACCAATTCCTGGGGAAAGAGAAGAGCTGCATTACAACAAAGTCGAGGATTTTCTAAGTTAGACCCCACTCTGCAGATTAACCAAGGTCACTTTTCCCGGCACTGTCTTAGGCCAGGGTTTCTTAACCTCGACCCTGCTAACGCTGGTAGCCGGGTAACCCTTTGTTATGGGGCTGACCTGTGTACTGTAGGAGGTTGAGTGGCTACCTCGGCCTCCAGTTACCAGACGGTAATAGCACACGCCGCATCCCCGCCGCGACAACCAAAACCGTCTCTAGCCAGTGCCAAATAAGTCCCAGGGGACAAAAATGCCCACTCCCCACCCTCTGCTCAGAACCACTATGTTTGAGAAAAGGGGTTTAATCTCCTTTTACCAAGCCAAACAGCTACTTTGAAGTTACTGTTCCATAACTTCTCCACACCCTCTGACCAGAAGTCATATCAATGAATTAACAAACCTGTGTTTAGTTTTCTTTTCTTGATACCTGAAAATTCCAGATTCATTATATTGTGAAACTGTAATATTCCCTTAATCTTTCTACTTAGGCCACTGGCGTTCTCCTGGGATTCTGTCTTTCACCCTCAAAAAGCTGTGACTCACAATAAATTAAGAGCATTTTTCTGTGGATTGCTGCCAGTTAACAGATTACTGGTTAAGAGACTTACCTAAGCCACAGAGGGTATCAATGTGCAAACGGGATTTAGAACTGTTTTTCATCTATAACACCTGAGCTCACAACAAGAGTGGTTTTAAATGGGATGTTACTCTGTCCTGCAAAACCATGTTTTTGCAAACCATGTTGATCTTATACATGAAAGAGACACACAATGTGAAAACACCTAAATACGCGTGCACTTAATTCAAAACTGTGCTGTGCATGATGAATGGAGCATTAGGAAGCCCTATTCCCAAACGTGAAGAGCAAAGCTTTAGTCAAGGGTCACCATCTCCTCTCCCCTCCAGACACAGCACATCTGAGACCAGGGTCTGATTGGCCAAGTTCCCTTTGTTTGAATGGAAAAGCGTTCACAGCAAACATATTCAAAGTTTCTCATTTGAAAAGTTTGCCACATTCTGCCATTTCTATTCTTGACTTCTCAAAATAGAAGGTTTTTCCTTTGAACTATTAATTGGACTAAACCAAAATTGAAGCTCATCAATTAATAAAGGAACAAAATAATTCTACTCTGCTGTATATAATCGGCATCAAGATAAAAAAAAAAGTACAAATCCCAGCTCTTCATTAAATCCCCTAGATGTAATTGGCCAGAGGATCTATGCTGCTTCTAGAACAGGGTTTGGCAAACTCCAGTCCTTTAGCCAAATTTGACCCCATGCCCCTTGACTGCTTTTGTAAATAAAGTTTTTTATTGGAATAGAGTTCCATTCATCTGTTTACATATCACCAGTGGCTGTTCTCACATTGCAATGGGAAACGTGAACAGCAGTAAATAAGACCAAATGGCCTGTGAAGCCTGAAAAATCGCTCAGGGCTTTGCAGACAAATTTGTACTGTAGTATTGTCTAGTGTAGTCCAAGCACTAGGCAGCACAAGGCCTTCATCACATCTGGCATCAGAATGACTCGCAAAGACACCACTTCATTGTCGTTGTTCAGTTGCTAAGTAATGTCTGACTCTTTGAGACACCATGGACTACAGCACTCCAGGCTTCCCTGTCCTTCACAAGCTCCTGGAGTTCGCTCAAATTCATGTCTATTGAGTCAGTGATGCTGTCCAACCATCTCATCCTTTGCCACCCCTTTCTCCTACCTTCAATCTTTCCCAGCATCAGGGTCTTTTCCAGTGAGTCATCTCTTCACATCAAGGGGCCAAAGTATTGGAGCTTCAGCTTCAGCGTCAGTCCTTTCAATGAATATTCAGGGTTGATTTCCTTTAGGATTGACTGGTTTGATCTCCTTGAAGTCCAAGGGACTCTCAAGAGTCTTCTCCAACACAATTCGAAAGCATCAATTTTTCAGTACTCAGTCTTCTTTATGGTCCAACTCTCACATCCTTACAGGACTACTCAAAAAACCATAGCTTTGACTATACGGACCTTTGTTGGCAAAGAGATGTCTCTGCTTCTTAATATGCTGTCTAGGTTGGTCACAGCTTTCCTTCTAAGGAGCAAGTGTCTTTTAATTTCATGGCAGCACTCACTTCATTATTTCTTTTTTTTAAATGGTGACTTTTAAAAAACTAATTTATTTTTGGCTGTGCTGGGTCTTTGTTACTGAGCGCAGTCCTTCTCTAGCTGCTGAGAGTGGGGGCTCCTCTTCAGCTGGGGCGCACAGGCTGGTCACTGGCGGCCCCTCTGGCTGCGGAGCAGGGCTCCAGGCGCACAGGTTTCACTAGCTGCGGTGTGTGGGCTCAGTCGCTGTGGCACACGGGCTCAGCTGCTGCTCAGCATGTGAAATCTCCCCAGACCAGGGACTGAACCCGCGTCCCTGCATCATCAGGAGGATTCTTAACTACCGGAGCACCAGAGGAGCTCCATCATCTCTTGTATTCAAATTCCAGAAATAACCAATGCTCTATAACATGGATAAATCATGATTTAATGAAATACTCTTGAGTGAGTGAAAGTCGCTCAGTCATGTCTGACTCTTTGCGACCCCATGGCCTGTAGCCAGCCAGGCTCCTCTGTCCATGGAATTCTCCAGGTCAGAATACTGGAGTGGGCAGCCATTGCCTTTTCCAAGGGATCTTCCCAACCTAGGGATCGAACCCAGGTCTCCCAATTGCAGGCTGATTCTTTACATCTGAGCCACCAAGGAAGCCCAAGAATACTGGAGTGGGTAGCCCATCCCTTCTCCAGCAGATTTTCCCAACCCGGGAATCAAACCAAGGTGTCCTGCATTGCAGGCAGTTTCTTTACCAGCTGAGCTACCAGGAAATACTCTTAGGCTATTAAAATAATGTAAACTTCTAATTACTTATATTATTACATTATAATATATTATTAACTATATTATTAAACAGTCATATTATTAAACAAAAACAGGAAGTTATAAAAATGTATGCAGCATTATCACATTTTGATAAATATATACTGAGTAAATATTAATAGATACAAGTATAGAGACAAAATACTGGGTGGTGAGGTTATCAGGTCTTTTTTTTTTCCTGTCTGTATTTTCCAAAATGAACTGATTTCTTTTCTATAATATGATATAAAGCTACTAGAATTTGGGAGTTTTTTTAGATTTTGTAATTCAATTTTAATCATTTAATCTTAAGGCTATTTGTGTTGTTGACTTTGGCCACTAGGATAACATTGTAAAAAAATAATTTTTCTCCCAGGGTTCCACATCCAATCAGTTCTTCAGGTTACACCAAACCCTAAATATTTAAAACACTCTTTACTATGGCTGGGGTGAGCAGAGAGGGGCAGGGCGGACAGAGGAATGGCTTCCTGCTGGGCCCGCCTCCAGGACACAGACTGCGTCTGTGCTTCCAGCCTTCCTCCCCACGAGTGCTCTTTTAGGAGACCCAAGAGCTAAAAGGAGTTGACTTGGGGCCCCACCCTGGTGCCTGATCCCCAACAAACCTCAGTTCACTGCAGATGCTCAATCATCATGCCCATGGTCACACGTGACGAAAAGTAACAAACACAAAATAAGACCATTTTATTTTCAAAGCTGTAGAACTCTGGCAGAACATCTGGTCTACCAGAAAGGTCAAGGCGTTAACGGCTCACGGCTACTTTCTTTCTCTCCTGCCCAGTGTTCAAGTGCACTACTCCATCTGCGTACCCGTCTAAAAAGCGCCCGTTATAGTCTTCTAATGCCTCTGTCCCAGAGGGAGACTCGAAAACAGCTGTGGCTTCTGATATTGAAAAGGACACTCAGCAACGCCGGGCCTGCTGACGTCCAGCCTGCAAACAGCAGAGGTGAGGGACGGGATGTGCTTTGTTCTTTGATAAACTGTAAATCCTATTATGTCGCTTATAATTATGTTCAATGGGTTTAACAGTTTACTACAGGAATTCGTGGTAGATATTCTTTTTTCTGCACAGGACAAATGTTAGGTTCATGAACGCATTTCCAGCATACACATAATTTCTATTACATGACAGGTTCCAGAACTAAGTTCCCACCTCATTTGCAGACTGCACTCAATGCTGTGTCCTTTAACAAAAGCCCAGTGGAATTTTTATTTGTCAAGCAGATCCCAATGAAGCTGAGCAAAAAAATTTTAATTAAAAAAAAAAATGGAAAAATCTATCAAAATTCAAAACAACTTGTAAACCCTTAATTGGAGGTGAAATCTATAGTTTAACAGCTTTTGAAAGGAAGCCAAGAAAATAACATACCGCTACTTACATACTGGGTTTTCCCAACACCTCTCCTCCTAGGTAGCTGGCATCCACTGGTATTTACGTCAGAAGAAAAGGAAATCCGTATTAGTATGTAAAGTCAGACTCATACCTGTTCCCGGGCTGAGCCTGAGGCTTGGGGCTTCCGGCACGCTGGGCGGTCTCCGTGGCGGCCGCCGCTGTGGCCGCACCCGACTGGCACCTCCACGGCTGACGGGCCCTTGAGCCGCGGTACAGCACTGTGACAAAATTAAAGTGGCAGCATGAAATCTCGCTGGAAAGCAATTTCTTTTGAAGCGGCCCTCAGAGCATAATTCCCGGATTTACAGTTTAAAGGGATGCTACAGCACAGGCGATGTCCCCAGCATTTCTCTGCAGGTGGGTGAAGGCCCTTCAGCCCCGTCTGAGGGGGTGGGGTGGTGGCCCCTGGGAGGGCGCATCACAGTCGCCTGCACGGAACCTTCGCGGACGCCTCCTCTCCCGGCTTTGGCTGCCGGTTTTCATATGATCCCTCAAGAGAATCACTGCATGTTATGATGGCAGCATGCTGCTCATGAAGGTAAGGAGCCGGGAGAAAAGGCTCAGACCACTGATTAAAGGAGTGGCGTGCATGCGTGCTCAGTCGCTTCAGTCGTGTCCAGCTCTTTTCGCCCCCATGGACTGCAGCCCGCCAGGCTCCTCTGTCCATGGGAATCTCCAGGCAAGAACACCGGAGTGGGTTGCTGTGCCCTCTTCCGGGGGATCTTCCCGACCCAGGGGTCGAACTCACGTCTCTTATGTCTCCTGCACTGGCGGGCGGGTTCTTTGCCATTAGCGCCACCTGGGAAGCTGGGCTAGTTTTCCCACACTGGCATAGATCTCATATCTACCTAGGAGCCTTCTCATAGGTACTGGGTACCTCATAGGTACAGCACTGGGACTGAGAACCCCAGGATTGAGCCTGAACTCTGACAAGCTGGGGGAATCCCTGTTTTCAAAGGTCAATTCTGGCCCTCCTCCTTCTCCACTCCGCTCCACGGGGTATGCCATCTGTACCGTCAAGGATTCATGGACTCCCAGAGCCCCCCCCCACCATTTCTGACCAGACTCCCAGTGCCCAGGACCCCAAATTCCCTGACTTCAAAGCCCCACTTCCAGGGTCTGCAGGCCTCTTTCCAGCATCCATCCTCCTGAGGGTGGATTGCACCATCAGTATAAGTCATTCTTGACCTAAAGGGTAGACAGCGGGTGGGTGGCTGCTTACGGGGTCAAGAGTGGAACATGAACACTGGAGTAGGCACAAGACTCTTCATCATGCCAGCAGGCCGGTCATGGAGAGAGAAGAAGGGAAGTCTGCCCACCAGAGGCAACTTGCTCAAGGCCCTGGCATTTACACAGCAACTGTGCAGAGCTCAAGAGTTCACCCTTCCAGCCATTAGCAAGGTCTATTCTATTTGTCAGCATAGCAGAACAGAACATAAAACAGTCCGCTCGCTGGCTGTATAGGGGTCTTGTCCTGAGCACCACAAGACTTAGTCGTGGGCCTGGAAAGCCCATCTGAGTGGAGGAGGGCACGGGCCATACCCCATTACGGCATGGAGCGTGTTCATCCTTAAACAACACGGAGAGAAGTGAAAGGGAAGCCACGCAGAAGGTGCTGAAGCTGGCCGTGCGGGACAGTGGTTACTACCGTGCCCCACGGCATACACGTGACTTCCCCGCCCCGTTCTCAAACCAGCAGATCTCAAACCAACGTGAGAGCAATCTCCTTCTACCCGCCTCCCACTTATGAGTCAAAGGCGTTCTGGTGAGGGACTCGGGCTGTGGACCAGCAGGTGGGACTCTCGACAGTTCTGCCACTGACTCGTAACAGAACTGGGGCTGGCTGTAAACTTTCTGACCCTTACTTTCCTATACAGAAAAATGACGACACCCTGCTAATCCATAGCCCCCTGGTAAACATTACAGCAGGTAAGGCCAGTGGAGTATTTTGCACAACGCCTGCAGGTGGCGTTAGCGGTAAAGAATCTGCCTGCCAATGCAAGAGCCTCAGATGTGGGTTCGATCCCTGGGTTGGGAAGATCCGCTGAAGGAAATGGCAACTCACTCCAGTATTCTTTTCTGGAGNCAGTACATTAGTATTTCTTAGAACAATTTGGGAGCTGGGAGCTTTTTGAGCTGCTACACTATTGCCATGCCCTCTACTTACAAAATTCTCTTCTCTGAGGTGAAACACATTCTCAAAGAAGGGTGATGCTACTAAAAAAAAAAGGATCCTTTCTGCTCAGGTCATAGGGTTAACACACCCACCTCTCAAGGACTTCTCTGAAACACTCCGATCAGAGTTCCTTAGTGGTCCAGTAGTAAAGAATTCCCCTGGCAACCCAGGGGACACAGGTTCCATCCCTGGTTCGGGAAGATCCCACAGGTCTCGGGGCAACTAAGCCTGCGCACCACAGCTAGAGAGGAGCCCCCGCTCAGCACAACCAGAGAACGCCTACACACAGCGGTGAACACGCAGCGCAGCCAAATATCAACCATCAATAACTTAAAGACAAATAAATAAAACAGTCCTCTCCCCAATGATCTGAAGACTCTAGAAAAGCAGTGTCTCTCCTGCTTAATGGTCAGTATTCATCTATCTAAAGGAATTTGATTATTCAAAGAACAAAATGAGACTTCTGAATATACTCAGCTAACTGCTTAAGAGAAACTCAAAGGCACAGGAAGCATCATCTGGTGTAGAGAGTGTGTTCTGAGCCAGAGAGATCCAAGTAGAAATTCCAGACAGGACCAAACGAAGTTATGTGACAGTACTTGGGCAACTCACTGAGCTACTCCAAGCCTCAATTTTCTACATCTGTAAAACAGCAATGAGGCCAAACTTTCTGTTGTAACGATTAGGAAAATTTTTAGAAATCTATATCCAGCCTGAAAAACAGTGCCAGGCACAATGCAAGTAATTAAACAAGAAGTAAGAACACTCAGTAGTAAGGACTGGCGCACTCATAAACTAAGACCAGGTGATTTTAACCCTACTCTTGCCATGGACAACTGGTCTACCTTTGGAAGGCCTACAGACAATAAAAGCTATAAAACCAAGGGACACGCAGAAGAGAAGATGACATAAGAAAACAAAATGTCATCAATTCCTGGACACGCCAAATACATGAATCATTCAAAAGTACACCTGTGACTTAAGAAGCTCATGAGTATTAACTGGTCCCCCCAAACCACATTATTTAATATTTTGGATGCCTGGGGGTGGTATACAGGAGGGTAGAAAACAAGGTACATAAGTACCTCACTGCTCTTCTCTACCACATAGGAGATGAGCATTCTTTTAAAAGGTCCTTATAAATAAGTGCATCATTTTAAAAATTCACAGAAATAAGGTTCTATTTCATAACTACTAATAAGCACTTAAGGGAGGCTTTAAGAAAAGAATTATCTCTCTGATATGGAGCCAAAGTGTTCTAATGTATTAAACACTGATACATATATATATATTTTTTTATTATTCTAGATTTTTTTTTCTAATTACAAAAGACATATATGCCTAACATAGAAAATCTGGAAAGGAAAAGGCACAGAGAAACAATAATTCTTCTATTAACTTTCTAAAATATACATATACTATATACATATGTACCAGGGAGCTTCTTATTAATTCTGTGATACACTGAAAGCACAGAATATAACACTTTGCTTCTCTACTTTGAGAATTCATTTTGAAAAATATTATTCAATTTTCCTATCCCAGATGTTAATCCTTTCATATAAAACAAGATAAAGTAGTATGAAAGTGAAAGTGAAAATGTTACTCAGTAGTCTCAGACTCTCTTGAGACCCCATGGACTATATAGCCCACCAGGTTCCTCTATCCATAGGACTCTCCAGGCAAGAATACTGGAGTGGGTTGCCATTCCCTTCTCCAGGGCATCTTCCCGACCTAGGGATTAAATCCAAGTGTCCTGTATTGCAGGAGATTCTTTACCATCTGAGTCACCAGGGAAAATCAGTCTGTAATTCAACTGAACTTCAAATCTATTTCTGCTGTGGCTTCTGAATCTTTCAGTTAGTTACTTATAACCTGGACAACAAAGCATTTAAACATCCTCAAATTGTTCTATGACCTCAACTCTAGAGCCTGTCAGACTTTCTTTGCCACTGAAAAGGTCAATGAAAGGAAAGACTAATTTGACACTTCTTTCAGCCCTGTTACTGGCACTGGGCTCCCTTTTCTTAAAAGATAATGTCTTTCATCTCCCACTGCCCTTACTGACCTGTCATTGGACACTGGGTCCTAACAAAGGCACCTGTAATAACATATGGAGCTCAGAATGGACTCTCTCCACTTCTTCTCAGTAGGTGGCAGATTGACAAATTAGGGAACTTTAAAAAAAAAAAAATCAGGTCTGGGTCCAATCACCATTCAAATGCACTAATCAAGCATCTTAGCAGGTGGCAGCCTTTTATGTAACAGTAACATTTTGAGGGTATCTATGTATCAACTGTGTGCCAGGCCCTGGGCTACAGGCTTTACCTGTAACCAGTTAATCTTCATGGCAAGCCTATGAGGTATTACCTTCTCTGTGTCTCGCAAAGTGAATGCCTCACTCCGGGATGCGGATGAGGGGTGGGCAGAAATCGCAGGAATGCTGCAGAGCTAGCTAGCGTCCCAGCCAGGTGTGTCTGACCAGGGTCCCATCGGCTCATCTTTTGGATCCATCCTGCGTTCACCTCTGTATCAGAAACCCGTGGTGTTCTCAGGGGGTCTTATTTATTCTCTAAATATCTAATTTGGGCAAGAAAACTATTCTCCAAATATCTAATCCTGGGCTAGCACTTTCTAGCCCTGGAGTAGGTCCTGCTGCCACGGACGAGTGAGCACTGGGTGTGCTGCCAGCGGCCAGGGCAGGGCAGCAGTGGGAAAAGTGTGATCTCCGCCACCAGGGAGGGAAGCCCAGGGAGGAGACCTCTGCTGATGCTCCTGACAACGATGCCAACGCTACTGTCTCTGCGGCTGGCCCTTAACGCACTCTGCCTCCCGTGATCACAACCATCCTGAGGCTCTCATTAGTCGTATTTTACAGATGAGATCCAAGACTAAGAAATTTCAGCCCCTGCTCACGGCCACCCACCTGATCCACAGGGCTCCGGAACCCCTCCCCGCGGCCGCTCAGGGTCCCCCGGTGACCCACGTTGCCCCCCTCTCGCTCCTCCCAGGGGAGGCCCCCTTTCCGGATCCTTTTTCCGCCCCTCTGCGCCCCCCGCCGCCGGTCCGGGACGTTCCCCAGGCTCCTGGGCCCCGGCGTCCGCGGCCCGCTGTCCCCGAGTCGGCGGCGGCCGCCACGGCCCCACTTACGCCGATCGCGGAGCAGGACGCCCGCAGATCGCAGGGCCGCAGCCATGTTTGCGCCGACTGAAAGCGCTCCCGGGGCGGGTTCGGCCCGGGACCCGGGTTCCTCCGGCGGCAGCACAACCAAGAACCCGCCCCGCCAACCGCCTAGCCGGGGAGCCCAGCACCAACCAGCCACACCGCCCCACCGTGCGGCCACGCCCCGCTCCCGGCTGCGCGCCCTCTCATTGGCTGGCTGGTGGGGCGTGGTCGGAGGGCGGTGCCCGGCGGAGACACGCCCCTCGCTGGCAGCCCGCCCCGCTGCCCGGCGGTTCCCAAAGCAAGGCCCCTGCCTGCTAAGTCGCTTTAGTCGTGTCCGACCTTTTCTGACCCCATGGACCGTAGCCTACCAGGCTCCTCAGTCCATGGGATTTTCCAGGCAAGAATACTGGAGTTGGTTGCTATGCCCTCCTCCAGGGGATCTTCCCAATCCAGGGATCAAANAGGGAGATGGGGAGGGGAGTCTAGTGCAATTGAAACAGATGGTCAGAGAAGTCCTCACTGACACTTAGGCAGAGACCTGAAGAAGTAAGGAGGCAAGCCATGTGGAGCATTCCAAGAAGATGGAGTCTAGATTGAGTGGAAAACCAGTTTTCCGTAGCTAAAATGTATGCTTTTGATTAATTAGTTTATTATTAAAGATAGTCCTCTTTATGGTTATAAGCTCAGTGTAAAATGTCAAATGGATTGCCTTTCATACTATGTACATAATCTTTGAATCAAGCAGCAGATGTTTGCTGAGAAGTGGACACTGCTTTCCTATATGTTTGCTAACTTCCATTCTTAGGAAAAAAATTATTAGTTTGCCCTTTTGGAGAAGGAAATGACAACTCACTCCAGTATTCTTGCCTGAAGAACTTCATGGACAGAGGAGTCTGGCGGGCTACAGTCCGTGGGATCACAAAGGGTTGGACATGACTGAGCGACTAACATACTTTAGTTTGCCCTTTAAAGAGGTGATCTTGGACTTCCTTGGTGGTCCAGTGGCTAAGACTCCACTTTCCCAATGCAGGGGGCCTGGGTTTGATCCCTGGTCAAGGAATTAGACCCCACACGCTTCAACTAAAGATCCCGCATGCTCCAATGAAGACTGAAGATCTTGCATTCTGCAACTAAGACCCAGCACAAACAAGTATTAATAAATAAGTAAATGTTTTTAAACATTTTTTTTAAAATTGAAAGGTAGTCTTTGTAGATAATATACTCTTCTACCTAAAGTCTAATCCTATTGCTTTTAAATCAACTACACAAAAAATCTCTACATTTTGAAATGCTGTGCTGGAGAAAGTATGGACAAGATCAGAGCACTAGAAAAGTTCAAGGGTTTTTAACAGCTGAGCGGTGTGGGCTCTTCTCGGCCACTTCTGGGAGGCTCTGGATAAGTCACCTCTCCATTCCTGGTGCTGGGCCCCACCTGCTCAGTGAAGATAAGAAGGGTCTTCTGGCCCCTCCCAGGGAAATGCCGATGATTAGTGACAAGGCATAAAGGTGCCAAATCTCACATAATCAACATTGGGCTGAGTTTAATTTGTATATGGCCAGAAACAAGAAATGAGTTACCAAAACATGCTTTATTGAGTGTATCAACATAATAACATTAAAAAAAAAAGAATTAGCACCATTTCATACATTTTCCTCACATCCTGTATTTTCATTTTTATTGACTTTTAAAACAACTCATTCAAAATTATGTTCATGTATAAAATGCCCCGATACACATATTAAGACTCATAGGTTACAAATGGAAACAGAACTTTATTATTTTTCCCCAAAGAGAGCTTCATGAATTTGTTATTTCTAATCTGTAGCTTGTTTCTTACAAACATCAAACATAACAGCTTTTCAGTGAGTAAATTTTTATGATCTTTTGAATGAAAGCAGATAAAATAAGCTTTGTATGTGTCCTTTCCAAAACTGATTGGAAAATACAGCCCTTACATCAGAAACTGTGAATTCTAAATATGGGTTTACTAAGAAATCCAGATCTTTGAAAGGCTAAATGAATTTATAAAACTATATGATATTTTTATATATTAGGCATGTATATATTTATACATATATTTACACATATGTATGTATATATAAATGCATTTTTCTGGTTTAAATATCTATAGCAAAATAATGACCACTTTCCTTAACAAACAGGAGGCACAGTCTCTGGGCCAGCTCAGATAAGCGGCACTCCCATCACACAGGAGAGAGGGTTTGTCTGAGCTCCGGTGACTTAATTAGTGAAGAAAGAATTCTCTTGTCATGTCCAACACTCAGAGTTCAGCCTGTGGTCCTAAATAAAATGCATTTGTTGGTTTCAGCTCAGCGCTTCAATGCAGAAGGAGGCGGGAGGAGATCCCCTCATTCATTATTTGCCATGATTGGCACCTCCAGGCTGCACAGACTAAATTTAGACTACTCAATTCTGTCTCCTTAATCAGAAAAACAACAGCGCGAGGGAGGGATGATGTTGAGTGTAGGGAGAAAGAGTGGCTTCATGAGGCAGACAAATAGTGAGCTCTAATAATTGCTCAGGGAAGTCTGATCAATGGTCCCTACGACTGTTTTCCAGCAAAGAGGCCATCCAAGTCTAGGCCAATGGAATGTGCGTTCTGACCGCCCCCTTAACCACACAGAGCCTCAGTATTAAGCCCACTAGTGGTGATGGGTTTATTAGTTCATCTGCACATTTTGGTGGAGTGTCTACTGTGAGCCAAGCACTGCAGCAGATACTGTGAAGGACAGCAAGTAAACTGCACCCTCAGCGTTGACATATACACGACCACGGGGGTGGGCCGCTGGCGGGGGCTGCTGCGTAGCACAGCGCGCTCAGCTCGGCACTCTCTGCTGACCTGGAGGGCTGGAACTGGGGGTGGGGTGGGAGGGAGGCTCAAGCGAGAGGATGCACATGTATATATACACGTGTGTGTGAGCGCTACGTTGCTTCAGTCGTGTCCCACTCTTTGCGACCCCATGGACTGTAGGCCGCCAGGCTCCTCTGTCCATGGGGTTCTCCAGGCAAGAACACTGGAGTGGGTTGCCATGCCCTCCTCCAGGGGATCTTCCCCACCCAGGGATCGAACCCAGGTCTCTTATGTCTCCTGCACTGGCAGATGGGCTCTTTACTACTAGCGCCACCTGGGAAACCCAGATATGTATATTACATATAGCTGATTCACACTGCTATACAGTAGAAGGTAACACACCATTGTAAACCAGTTATACTCCAATTTTAAAAATAAATTTAAAAAAGGAAACTGTACTCCCAAGTAGCTTATTCATTTATGAAAGAAACATGTATAGAGGGCCTACTACCTATGTCAGGCACATGTTGGAAACAGCAATGAATTGGACTATCTCTACTTTCATGCAACTTACATTCTAGAAGGCAAGGCAGACAATAAACAAAAGATACATGCCACAATGTCTGCTATGACTAGGAACCGTGAGGAAAAATAATAAAGGGCGTGAAGAAATGGAGAGAGGCAGGACCTGTTCTTTTGGGGGTGCTGTGGGACATGGCCTGTCTGCAAAGGTGGCGGTTGAGCGGGGGCCTGTGGGGAGAGAGGGACGCTCCCTGTGGAGGGGCTTTGCGAGCAGAGAATCAGAAAGTGCTGGGGTATACTGAGGCTTGTGTTCATCCCATGGGGCTGCTGAAACAGGATACCACAGAGCAGGGGGCTTAAGGCCACAGCAAGGTACTGCAGAAATTCTAGTCTGGGGCTAGAAGTTCAAGCCCAGGTCAACAGGGCCATGCTTCCTCTGCAGTCTGTAGGGGAGAATCCTTCCTCCTGTAGGAAGTCTGTAGGAAGAGAAAGCTGTCTCTTCCTAGCTCCTGGCAGCCCTTGACTCTCCTGGCCTTGCAGCTGCCTCGCTTTGATCTCTGCCTCTGTCTTCACAAGGTCTCTTGTCAGTGTATCTCTTTCCCATGACCATCTTTCCTCTAGAAGGACACCACTCATAAAACACAGTCCAGTATTGTTGCTGGAAAATCCCATGGACAGAGGAACCTGGCGGGCTACAGTCCACAGGGTCGCAAAGAGTCAGTCATGACTCAGCAAGTAAACCACCACCACCGTATTGGACAAAGAGCCCACCCGGCTGACCTCATCTGAATTTGGCTATACTTGCAAAGAACCTCTTGTTAAATAAAGTCACATTTCCTAGTACCAGAGGGGAGGATTTTAATATACAGAGGAAGGGGGTAATTTTTGGGAGGCGGGGGACACAGTTCACCCTGTAAGAAGGCCTTGAGGGACAGTAATGGAAACTGCATGTCTTGAGCAGAGTTTGTGGGGTGGAGGGCAAGGAATTTTGGCTGATTAGGAGATGAAAGACTTCATCTTTTGAACAGATCTCCCTCTAACAGTGATCCATGCTTTGAGTGCAAAACATTCACTTTGCCTGCAGTGTAGAGAGAAAAGTAGGGCTCTTATGCCAGTTTTAAGGCATGTATCAGATGACTAAGTTCATTTCCTCCATGGGGTTCTAACTTTTATTTATTTATTTGAGGTCATATTGGGCAAGAGTGTTTTTCTCTGAGAGATCACTGTCCCCGGGGCGGTGGGAGGGTCCCTCCACCCCTTCTGGCCTACCTCTGCCAGGATCCCAGGGTTTCACAAGTCTTAGATGCAGCTTGTGTTTATTTCTTGGCTTGGCAGTCCTGCTCCTTACAGGTACATTCAAACCAAGGAATCTGACTTTTTCCAGCAAAAGCTGTCATTCCCTGTCAGAGCCCTGGGCAGGCAATGGTCTTCCTTATCTATCTGTGCTCTACGGGGCTAGTTCTCTAGATTTCACAGAAAGGCCAGCCTTCCAAGGGCCCCCCTTCATGCAGGGATGGGTCTAGCCCTTCCTCCACTGTCCTGTCTGGGTGTGGTGTGGGCATTCTAGAAGCTGCATATATGATGTGTTCACTTTGTGAAAATTCACAGTGTTGCACACTTATATGTGTGCCCCTTTCTTGTATATTTCAGTGAAGTGAAAGTCGCTCAGTCCTGTCCAGCTCATTGCAACCTCATG